TATTAAGTATTGTTTGGAAATACAGTGTAGTTTGTTCAATAAAAATTTAGATGCATAGTGTAGTTTGTTCAATAAAAATTTAGATGTATTTTTTAAAAAAATTAATATTTTTAATATATTTTGAATGATTTTGATATATTAATTTTAAAATTAATTTTTAAAATATAAATAAATATTATTTAGATGTAAGTTAGCATGAAAAACTTTTGAAAAGCAGCTCCAATATACTTTCAAATAGCTTTCAAATCAACTGCATTCTCTGGTGGAATGAGTTCGTTTTCAAACTGTTTCATTGGAACGTGTTTTACAAACACTCAGCAGCACCAAACCTCAAAAGCTAGGGATGACATAACCGGTCCCCATAGCTTAATAATCCACACCCTTGATTTTATTAAATAGAAAGAACGCAAGAAATTATTTTTTCGGCCTTTCCTATATAAACAACGGAAGCTTTTATGTTTTACAATCAGTTTTTGGATCGAGCCGGCTTGAAATGGCATTGTTTTTGTCTAGCATAAGAGCATGGCAATCCGGTTAACCATTACGGCTCGTGTAACTGGGCAAGTCGATCGTTGCCAGGTTGCAATTGTTCTGTCCTCGAAATAGTTTATTTTAAAGGAAGCAGCATGGTCGGCCCTTCAGAGCAGCGTGCAGCTGTATTTGCTTTTGAGTCCAGATTCTTAACAATAATTTCTAGGTCATAGAATCTGAAGCTGTGCATCTTGCATCCTCTAATGGGAAGTTATTTTCAACAAGATTCGTCCCCATAACGTGAAAGACGGAAATATTTGTGGTTTCGAAGTCATGCTGAGAAATGAAATGACGCTTGCAGTAGTTTGATTTGAAATGACAAAGACCTATTATTCTATCCGATCAGACGTCAGACAAATATCTTCCGACTTTTGGCTTGCAAACACGCAACCAAGCCAAGTAAATCCCAGAAAAGTGGTTGACTCACTGCTTGGGATCATGGGATGATTGTTCGATCCTTTATGATGGAGATCAAAGCCGCCAAAGGAGTGCAGGAAGGAGCTTGTTGTTACTGCTAACGTAAGCGTTAAGCTTGGAGCCGGAGACTGAAAGATGGTAAGGAGACTTTTCTCAGTTGAAGTTTGTAGGACAAGAGAGTTCACGCGGTTCAGTCACAAATGATGCGCGACAATGAGAGTCGATGAATGTGCGTGAAGCAAACATAGATTTTGCAATTTGGACAAAACAGGGTCCCAAAATGGACAAGTGAAAGGAGCAAAACCGACGGTTCTCTTTACTCTCCCAAATCAGGAAGCAAACACTAGGAAGCAATTGCGTCCTTCCATGGATTGTCTGCTGCCTGTCCCCGACTTGAGTCCTTTTGCCATTAGTCTTAAAGTTCCAACTCCTCGCCATTCTACTTATTATATTATTTTAATGACATTGACTTGCAACCTGTGGATTTCCTCATGCATTATGGACCCCATTTTGCTGAGATCACTCTCCGCAAAAACCCCCACTCCTAAAGAAAAAGATTATCTTGAAAGAGGGAGGGAGGGATGATTCCAACAATAGAAAATGGTGAGAGCAAGTTGTGGAATGCAATAAACTTGCACGTTTGGTTGTCCATCGTGGGTTGTCGAACGTCATCATCGAAAGCTTCTTCTCTCTTTTTTCTGAAGCAGATGATTTCTTCTGGCAAAGAGAATTTCTACGCGGTCCTTCTTGCTCAACTATGAAATCTCGCTGTTTAATACATCTTCTCCAGTTCTATCTCATGTGATCAAAGCTGGAGTAATCTGCTGCCCAGAAACTCTCAGCTAAATGAATTTTTTTTTTTAATTGCTGGCTGGAAGAGAAATTTTATTTCCATTTTAGAGTTACGAGAGGCTTCACTTGATTGTCTGTCTTCATTCCTGAATAAGAGGAACAAGGAACATTTGCTATAGACAGGGCTCAATAAAATTTAGCTTTCCATGACCATGAAAGTTTTGCAGGTTCTTAGAACCACTGTTTGATTTCCATTGCCTGTGATAGGTCGAAGTAACTAGGATTTTTGGTGTGAAAACTGAGAATAAAAGCTGGCAAGGTTCATGTTATGATCCCAATCCAAACTTATGAGCGGTGCGGTGTATTTTGGATTTACATTTTCAGCTTCAATCATAGTTTTTAAGAATACAATGAGATACTGATTTTATTCCCATGGCGTGGGGGATTGATGGAAGTGGAGATGATCATTCCATCACTTATTTGTTAACATGGTCAGAATTTCTCACGTTTCTTTCTTCTTTCTCTCTTTTTCTCCCCACCAAATTGATCGCATCATCTTTCCTTTGCTAGCTGTTCTCCTTGATTAAGTTCAAACAAGACATAATTTGTTGTATAAGCTTGTAACGGTGGATAGTTAGTATATAATATTCCACTTTGCTGCTCGCACCAGCAATTTTTCCAGGCTGTCTTTCTTCCCATCGAGTAAAATTTTGCTACGGAATTGATTGCATCAGCATTCCTTTGGTTGTTATGCTTTATGATTGAGTTCAACACAAGACATGATTCACTTCAAAAAGCTCATTTATAATAGGCTTAGGGGAAGCGATTTCAGGTTTCACCATCATTTTCCTTGGAAATGCGGTTCTAAATTTGCTGAACGTTTTCTTCTTTTTAGTTTTATTATGAATCTTGTGATTTCTGCCAATTATTTTTGTTTTACCTCACACCTTATGTCATGCATGGTGGGAATTTCTCTTGTGATCTGCTTGTTGTCACTTCAGCTTAGAATCGCCAGAATCCCAATTACTAGCTGGTTGCTTAGTGCTCTACCCTCACACCAATAATATATTAACAACTTAACAGTATGCATGACATAATACACGCGGGCTCTCCTCTTTCCTACCACTAAGAAAATGCTTTCCACCCCTTATACAATTGAAGACCGACGATTTTGTCCCTTTTGTGTTTCGATTCTTGCAGAAATATGGAGTGGCACTGTCGTTAGGTTCTCCCCGCATGATTGCTGGTTTCTTTCCCTATGAGGAATCTGATACGGGGAATAGTAAAAGTGACATCTTTTTTCTGTTTTGATTCTTGTTTTCCTTCCTACTTGCTGCTGCTTACCAAACGCACGCGACAAGAAATGCTTTGGAAACACAAGACCCCACCGCCTTTTATTGATTGAAGAGCTAATACAAATGAGTTTGCATAAGAATAGTGCATCCCATCAACTTGTGATTTGACCTTACCATTCTAAATAGAAACATAAACGACATTTTATACAAAATCTAAATATTGAGCACCCCAAGGCGGGCGTGTGTGTGGCTAAGTAGGGCCTTGTTAGGTAGGTTTCTTGCTTTCAACTTTGGCAAATTCGAGGGTTTTCTTGCCTTGCAATTTGCTAGTCACATAGTGTTTACTGTACTCTCCATGATTGTATGTCCTATACTTGCATGGGTTGTTCTCATCCACCAGTTCTGGAATTGGTCCAAGCTCTATCTCATAGCTAGGGGCATAAAATGTGACAATCGAGAGCCTGTCTTTTTCCTTGTGAGTCACTGCTCTGTGTTCCACACTCTTGTATTTTCCATTTGTTAGAACCTGTACATGCAGAAAATTAGTGAATTCTGTAACATCGATTCATGGTAAGATGGAGAAAGGAAAGCCCATGATTTCCTTACTTCTAAAGTGTCGCCAATGTTTATGACAAATGCATTTGGCGCAGGCTGAATAGGCATCCATTTGTTGTCTTTAAGGATTTGGAGTCCTACTGAACCACCCTTCCCTTGCTGCAACACTGTAAGGGCACTTCCATCTGAATGTGGACTAAGACCTAGAACAAGGTCCGGTCTTGCACATGGCGGGTAGTAGTTCATCCTTATGGCTTGCACAGCCACCCCAAACATCTCTTCAAAAAAATCTGCTCTCAGGTTTAGTGTCATGGCTATATATTCAAGTAGATGCTGACACAGCTTCCTCACTTCTCCTGAATAGACCTCTACAGTTTCACTGATGCAAGAATTGTACGACGCATTATAAGTAAATTGAAGACTTGCCCGCTTAAAATTCTGGAGGAAATAGGAATTGTGTTTATACCGTTACCTGAACTTGAGTGGCTTTGCTGGCCATAGTTTCGGGACTCTTATAAAGTGGGGCTCAAGCCCAAGAGCAAACATGTTGCACCAGTCCAGCTTTTGGTCCTCAGAGAACACAAAGGCCTGTCCATATCCCTGAACAGTCCCCGGCAACATGGGATACTTCTGCTTTTCCTCCAAAGGCAGAACGAAGAAATCCTCGGCAACCTTCTCTATACTCTCCAGCAAACTCAGATCAATCCCGTGGTTAATCACCTGATAAAATCAAGAAAACAATATAAACTTAGCCTTCGTGCTCATTTTATCCTGCACTAACAAAGAAGGGGGGTAAAAAAACATATCAACTTGTACCTGAAAAAAACCCCACTCCTCGCAAGCTCTTGTCAGCTGCAACATTTCACTCTCGTATTCATCTTTATTGCCTCTAACAAGCCTTGAGAAATCAATGATGGGAACTGTATTAGGAGACTGTAGAGCTGTGGCTGGTGTTGGTCTTTCTGTCATGTCCCTAACAAATCTTTCAGGGATTGTTGCTGGCCTAGCCTTTCTCAGTTCTTGAACATCATCAATATGACCAACGTTAATTGGAGAAATGGGAACAGGAGCCATGGAAACAGAATTAGGAAATGTTTCAAAAAATTTGTGAAAGCTAAGAAAGAAGTTTTACCTGATAGCTTCAAGCTTAGACAACTCTGCATTTTATAGAAGGAGAAAGTGCAGTTTGCATTGTTAATGCCCAGTGGTCTGCTGTGCGTGGACCCCTGTCATGCACTTCATAATATTACCTTTCACGGCGCAGCTAAATTCTTGAGCGAATCCAGAGTCTGCGTCAAAATTATTATTGGCTAGTCCTCCTCGAAATAGAAACTTTTCAAGTTAAATGCCCAAATTAAGCCATTGGCAAGGATGAGATTCCCTTCTAATTGAACACCGGACAGCCTGCTATTACCACAGACTTAACGTGCATGCTCTTTATGGGGAGTGCAAAGGACATTCACCATCATCTCAATGTCTTCATCAAAATTATGGATAAATTGGACAATTAGCATGCAAACAAACAAAAACAAAAAAACACGTTGAATTAAGATGTAGCAAATATTTTTGTTAAATAATATATATTTGGATCTTGTGATTCTGAAATTAAGGTCTCAAAGAGAGATTTTTAAAATCTAAAGATCCAGTACCTCTTTATCAGCTACAAAATTTTGTCAGTGTAACATCCAAGATATTCAACTTTTGTCACATGTTTCGATTACAGAAAACTCTTGACATGTTAATCCAAAAAAGATATATATTATTTTATTTCAATCACTATGAACTATTCGTCATCGTAATATATTGAATAACAACGCGTATTGCTTCCCCTTCAAGACAGTGCATCAAATCATCATCTTTAATTATTTTAACATAAAAATTCATAAAAATATGATTTTTATAAAAAACAGTTGACTGGTTTTTATAATTGGATTAATTACTTTACCAATTGAGTCACAAGATTGACAACAAGGCTATATGCTAAGTTGTTGTTATTTTAAAGCGAGATAAGATGAAAATATATTATTTCTTCTAATCTTTTTTAAATGGTATTACGTAGCCAAAACTTTTAACCTATTGTGCTAATTTTTTTTTTAAATCCCAAAATTATAGTCTGTAGCTATACAAGGCACTTACCTGCCTTGAGCCATCTCCAATAATTTCACTACTATTGAGCTGCTATTAGCACCTGGCTTCCCTGTAGGGTAAGGTTATAGCTACTCAAACTCCTGTCCACTTCACTGCTTCTCTTGTAACAGAGGAAGTTACCCTAATGACAAAGCACAACAGTCCAATTCCTTGGTGTGGTTTTTTTTTTTTAATTTTGTGAAGCATTTAACGGACATGAATCAGTGCTTACCTAGACAGGAGGAAAGATTGTTTAACCATTAAATTACCTAAGATCCTTTCACGTGAAACTTGCCAAAAGCTCTTGTATTCCTTCCTTCGACAGTTTGTTTTATTATGCGATGAGGGGATTTGTGTCACGATAACAAAGACATTACGTGAGTTTCATGTGATTATTTAACAATTATGGCCATTACAACTACCAAGTGGTTAAGATGGAGATAAAAAAATAATATCAAAAGTAGACTGGAGACCTAATTTATATGCCGAGGAGCTGATGCAGCAGGAGCCCTCCTCCTAAATCATGCCTAGTGTTATTGTCATCATGCTTGGGTCCTCCACTTTTTCTTCCCTTCCTCTTCGTCCCTGTGTTTGAAGCCTCTGATCTAGCCACCTCCCGGGCTCTTGAGGATTATATTATTCAGCCATGGCTACCATGGAAGGTCACCACTGGACCGCTAGCTAGTGCTTGTCTACAATCCTCAAGCCTTTTCTTGAGGTTTTGTTAGCCCGCACCTTCACTTTCGAACAAGTTATTTCGCTCCCTGCTGCTATATAATTTGTCTCGAACAACAATGGACTAAAATCCTCTCATTCTACTTCGAACCATGCACAATTTGATGAGGATTTGTCTTCCAAAAAAGAGGGGTAGAAATATTAGTGTACTGAGAATATTAGTATGTACGTCCTAAAAAGTCTTGGAATTTGAAACATAGCAACGAATATTAAAATATCAAAAAAAATTATATTTTTATTCTTAATTTTTTTAGGACAAGAATTTTTATATTTTTATTCTTAATTTTTTTAGGATTTTTTTAATTTAATTTCATCATTTAATATTATATTTTTTAATTGCTAGATTTTATAATTTATTTTCTATAAAGTTATCTCATTTAGTGATGAATTTTATTAACTTTTTTTTTCATGATTAACTAAATACATATAATATATAATATATAGGCATACATGAATGATTATAAAATATACATTTTAGGTTAGCTACTAATATAATTTTATATTAGTATACTTGTCATTTCAACAAATTAATTTGAATTTTTTTATTTAATTAAACTATTTCCAAGCTATTGTCCATTTAAAATTCTTGCTGGGCATATGCCATGCAAAGTTTAGTTCTGATTGCCTAAACAAATTCATTCACATCCTAGTATTTGTAAAGAATTGTTTAATTTTATTTTTAAATATTTTTATATGATCATGAATCAAACTGACACTGTTTTTCCACGATAAAAAAAGAAAAGGGAGAAAGATGCCATTATACTTGAGGGTAAATTACCAAAGGTAAATTTGGTTTTTTCAAGGAAAAAAACAAAAAAAAATATCATCACCTGTCTAGCATGGCCCTAGATCTAAGAATTTTAAGTATGGCATCTACATATTTAATATTTTTGGACTTGATATAACTACTTAGATTTAAGATTTTTTTTACTGTAAATGACATTGTTTACTTTTCAGGTATACCATAAATTAAAAAAAACTATTAAACTCGGTTGAATTTATAATTAGGTTTATATATATATATGTATATATATATATGTATGTATGTATAATCTAAAATATATGGGGTAAATACTATGCAATTGTATTGTTCATCCCTTCATGTTTTATTATAAATGCATTGTTTATTTTTTTATTATAAATTTAAGGAAAAAATATGTGAGGTGAACACTATACAACCATATTATTCATCCTCTTATATTTACCGTAAATAACATTGTTCACTTTTTTTATGCTTGTTATAAATTGAAAAGGGAAAAAATATTAAGCCCAATTGAAATCATGATTCGGGTTCACCCTAAATAAACCAAAGCGTGCGGAGTGAATATTGTGTTGATGCATTGTTCACCCTCTCATGTTTTACTGTAGATGACAATAGTCATTGGGTTTTTTTTTATTAAGGTTTTGCTATTATTTTAAGGGGAAAATTTATGAGGTGAATATTGTGCACCCGCATTATTCACTCCCTCATGTTTTATCATGAATGATATTATTTTTTTTTTTAGGTTTGATATAAATTTAAGAGAAAAAAATATTAAACCTGATTGAGTTTATGGTCCAGATTCACCTTATAAGTTTTATTGTGAATGACACTATTCATTTTCTTTTTAAAAAAAGATATTTTTTTAAAATTAATCTTAATCTTATTATTATTTTTATATTTAGATTAATATCCTTTCTCTCTTTTATGTTATTTAGAAAGCCTATATGAAATGATGATTATTTTTTAGTTATGCATTTAATTTTTAAGGAGGTATTTCTAATTAATCTATATTTTTTAAATCTTTTATATAGATGAATTTTATTTTTAAAAATAAAAATAAATTTATTTTAATATTTCTAATATATATATAGTGTTGCATATTATTTTTTTTCTTTTATTTTATTCAATCAATTTAATATGTGTGTCTATTTTTATTATCGTTTGATTGAATAAAAAATTATTTTAATTAAAAAATTTAGTAAACAAATGCATAAATGTCACATCCTTCAAAATTAAATATCTTAATCTACACATGTCTCTTAATTTTTTTTAGTTTTTATTTTTAATCATCATTTATGATTTTTTTTCCCACTTATTATCACAAATAGTTCTCAATTTATTTGCTTACATGTATGTATAAGATTTTTAATTTTCACTTAGAATTTTTTTAAATGCAGAAACATGTTGAAAAAGTCTATATATAAGTTTTTTTTGTTGAGAAAAGAAATATCTAATCCATAGTGAAACACGGGTAAAATAAAAACTTGTGAAACTAGATCAATTTTTTTTAATGAATATATTTATTAGACTTTATTTTTTATTTTATTTTTTTAATTAATTTTTTTTATCAACTTCATCATATAACATTGAGTATTGAGGACTGAGCTTTATATTTTTTTCTAATTTTTTTTATTGGATTATTATAGTTTTATGACTCGAGTTGAGAGCCTTACTAGTTCGTTAGGTTGAATCGAGTTTTTTTGTTTGTTTTTTAATTAAATATTTTCTTTTCAATTCCATCTTTTAATATTAGGTTGATTGAGAATTGAAATGTATATTTTTTTTACTTACTTTTTATGGAGTTATCCTAGTCCCTTCACTTGAGTTTGATAGGTTAACTCATGATGATTTCGGTGTTTGTTTTTTCAATTTAATCCTTCAGCATTGGACTGATTGAAAATTGACCTTTACATATTTTTTTTATTTACTTTCTATGAGGTTATTATGGTTTTATGACCCAAGTCATGAGTTAGTTAGGTTGACTATGATTTTTTTTTTTGTCATTTTTTAGTTTAATTTTTCAATTTCATCTTTCAATATTGAACTGATTGAAAATTATGATTCATAATTTATTTTGGTTTGTGTTCTATAAGGTTATCTTTATCCCATAACTTGGATTGTTTGATTGATTTACTTAGGTGGTTTTTTAATCCTTTTTTTTATTTTTGTTTTTAGTCTCATCCTTCAATATTGAGTTAATTGAGAATTGAGTTTCATAATTTGTTTTAATTTATTTTCTACGAGATTGTCCCAGTCTCATGACTTAGATTTTATAGGTTAACCTAAGTTGACTCTACTTATTTTTTTTAGTTGAATTTTATTTTTAATTTCATTCTTCAACAATGAGTTGATTAAGAATTAAATTTAATAACTTTTTTTTATTTGATTTTTATATGTTTATTAGGGTTTTATGACCTAGATAATAAATTTAGCAAGTTAACCTAAATTGATCTAATATGTTGTTATTTTAATTTTTTTTTAAAAGATATCATCTTATTTTTTTAATCAAACTGTATTTTTATTGGTCGTCCGAGTTGTCTTTGAACTTGCTAGTTGACCAAGTCATATCATATCAATCTCCATGTAGTTTAAATCTTCTTCTTTTTTTCCTTCAAAAAACCACATTAACAACATTTGTTTATTTTTTATATTAAAAAAATGTGATTTGACCCAAAACATGTTGTAAACAATGACTCAATGATATACTTAAAAAGTTGTTAAAATTTTCAAATATTAATC